GAAATGAATATTATGCGTTCAGCAGTATAGGTTAAATACCAAATATTTGTATGTTGCATCTCTAATTTAGAAGCAGCAATTGCTGTTTATTTTTGAAAATTTAATTTTTTTATTATAATTTTACAGTGCCGAGCATAATCTTGTATCTATTTACAATTTAAAAACTCCTTGAAAAAGTTTTTTGCAATAACCGGACCCTATTTGCACAAATTCATTAAAGCGGACCCTGGTTGAAAGATTGTGACTGAGTTTTTCACGAAAAACGGACCTTTCACAAAATGTCTGGACAGACCCCTGAAATATATTAAATTTATATATTTTTTAATATTAATTCCATATAATTTAGTTGACTGTAATTGATATTTTTGTTATAAAGCAGTTGAATTAAGGTCTTCTACCACACGGCGATATTGTTGCAGTAGGTTATCGAGTTCTTACTGAAAGACTTTTCTTTTGGGCAAAAAAAATTTGCTTTTCTTTTCTGCAGAAATTTTCGAAAGATTTTATCTTTTCTTCGGAATCATATTCAAAAGATGCCTTTCTCGCGCATCCCAATAGAAAAAAAAAATACTCATGATTTTTCTACTCTCATTTGAGAATAATAAAAAATAATGAAGTGAAAAACTTTTTTTTCCTTTTCAGTTGAAATTTTCGTACTATTTTTTTAATGCAGTTATTACTATTGATTTCAAGAAAGCTCTTAAAATCTGATATTTTTAATAAGATATTATTTATTACAACAACAGTCTCGAAATGAAAACACCCCTTTTTGAAGAGTCCGATTCGTGTAATTTCTTAAAGTGTCCAAAACCTTGAACATTGGTAAAAGGTAAAAATGCTATATCTGTAACCATTGCACATATAATAATTACATATATTAATAAATATTTGATACTTTTTATACAATTTGCTTTAACTTATTAAAGGAAAATAATATAATTGGAAAAGATTTATAACTTTTGAAGCTCCACAATTCATTGAACAACAAGTCTTATCCCTTAAATATGAATAAATATCCTTGTAATACTGACCAATTCTGTTTTTGCATAAGATAAATAAGGCAATGTTAAAAATAATAATAAACTTTTTTAATAAAACCAAAACTTTTTTTCATTTTGTTTCTTGTTCAAAAATTTACATTTAATTTTTCACAATATTTTTTTAAAAATTGTAACATAATTTGGGTCAAAAGGTTTTGGACAGGATGGTTTAAACCATGGATTAAACCATTCTGTCCTAAACCTTGTCCACTCTGATTTCATAAACATAGTTTTAATTCTCTTTTCCAGTTTCATTCTTCAAAGAGCGGCTGATGACAATGAACCAGGATTCATGTATTATTTCCTGTCTGCAATATCTGATGTTGCAGCTAACAGATTCATAAATGCAAGCTCAATATATTTTTCACCCAACATGTCATTCACACCTTCTTACAAGGGATTTTTTAACAAAACCATGCCTCTCTTTGCACCTCGCGCATTTAGGTAATTGTGTTTAGTTTATTTGCTTAAGAATTCAAAATGTGTCTACTTGCTATGCCTTTGTCTAGTTTTAAATATTACTTGAACATACTTGCCAACTCTACTGGATTTTCTAATAAACTACTGCAGGATGCATAGCTTTTTTAAAAAGTGCTTAAGGGTGCTTATTTTTGATTTGCGTTTTTTAAAAGCCCTTAAAAGTGCTTTTGCTATTTAGGGTTTGTAAAACTTACTTAATTTTCTATCTTTTACAAAGATATTTTTTTCTTTGCCATGTTGATTGTTGTTCTAAATTACAAAAAAATGCATAATTTTTACATTTTTCTCTGCAATATTTATCAGAAACTAGTTATTTTATCATGACTATGTATTATAAAATAAAGAACTTGAAATGATAGAAAAAAATAATTTTTATTACTGTGCAGATCCTAATTGTGATTTTTTTTTGGAAAGTGATTAAAAGTATTTTTTGAGTGCTTATTTTTTGTTGTGAAATCTGGCTACGCACCCCATACTGGATTTTGAAAGTTTCTTCTCGTCTACTCATTTTATAAAAATTCTCCTGGTTTTTATACATTTTAGAAAATCCCCTGAATATTTGAAAACCTGAACACAATGAGTTTTGTTTTCTTAAGAAATAAAAAAATGTTGAAATTTATGAATTACTAATTTGAGTCATCACTTTTTAATGGGCTCAATTTACACAGATTCTATTCTAAGTCTATTTTGTTTCTTGATCGCCTTTTCAACGGTTATTGCTACAAAATTCTGCAGGGTTTAAAAATAAAATAAAATAAAAACAATTTTTAATATGATAGTATGATGCGTGATTTTCGAATTTGAATAATCACTTTTCACAATATATATTTGCCAAAAAATTATTGATAAAAGGGAAAATTATTTAGAAAAGTATGTTTTTTTTAATAAAAAGTATTTTTTCAAGGAATTTTAGTAATTAAAATATTTAATTTTCTGTGAATATAGTAATTTTTTTTACATAAAATTTTATTGGTAGAACATTAATGTTTATATAAGAATCATATTTGCTACCAACTTGACTAAATGGTTCATGGTATATGGCAACTAAGTCATTTAATAAAATTTTAGTCATATTATTGAAAAACTTTTGTTCTTATTTAGGCAACTATTTTCATGCTTTAGGCTACTATTTTGTTCATTTTTTTCTGTGGCAACCTTGTATATGAGCTTGAAACTAATATGCTAATGTTTTTATCACAATATTTTAACCAATGTTTTTTTTCTTATATAGATCTGATGATTTTAATGATCCTTTCCATCTGGAACGAATATCAACTTTGAATACCATAGAAGCAATAGATTTGGGTGCAGTACCAAACAATTCTTTAAGTATGAATTATACGCACTCACATTACAAGATTAATGATTGGTATTCATCCTGGTTACCTGATCTTACAAAGAGACAAGATTCAAAGACTACTTATTCAGTACAAATTACTCACGCTAATGGAACTAATGAGACATTTGTTTGGCACGGACCGCCTGGTAAAATTTATTCTTTTTTTCTTCTTCTCTAATCTAACAGGGTGTGTTGCATTTTTAAAAAGTGCTTAAAGGTGCTTATTTTTTATTTACATATTTTAAAGCCCTGGAAAGTGCTTTTTCTTTTACGGGGTTTGTAAATAGTGCTTAATTTTCTATCTTCAGGNAGTACACAATTGTATGTCAACACATTATTTATTACTTTAAACTGTCTGGAATTTATTATTAAAGGGTTGCGCTTGCGTAAAATTTACTATCATGGAAATTCAGCTTTTTTGCGTTTTGGCTAATCTCATCCCTGTATCTTTTAAAAATAAGATTTTTTTCTTTGTCTTGTTGATTGTTATCATAAAATAAAATGAATTCCTCTGCAATATTTATCCAAAACTAGTTATTTTATCACGATTATGTAAAGTTTTTGAAAATGTTTTTGCATTTGTTGATAAATTAAAAACTTTACACAATAGGAAAAAAAAATTATGATTTTTTTTTAGGAAAGTGATTAAAAATATTTTTTAGTGCTTAAAAGGTGCTTATTTTTTATTGAAAAAGCTGGCTACGCACCCTGCCTAAGTTTTGAAGAGATGGTTCAAATTTCTGTGAAAGATCTCTATTTATCATTTTATATCTTTTCTTTCAACTACACAAGGAACAGGATTTGTTGATTTAAATCCAATGAATTTTTTTTTAAAGTAATCACAGATTTAGTTATTTACAAAGCAATATAATACGATATTGTTAAATTGTATATTGATTTTTTTAGGTTTTAATATTTATTGTAAACGTATTGTTATATAAATAAGTTGCAATGAGCAAAATTATGTTATTATGTGCTGAATAAAAGATTGTAGCACTTCATGTTTAAGAAAACTTAATTATTTATATTATATTAATTAGTAACATATTGAATATATTTAAAAAGCACGAACTACATTGGGTATATAAGAAAAACATAATTTCAGAAAGGTTAAAGAAGAAGCAAAATTACTCATCCTTTTTAAGTTGACCACTAAAGCAATTCACAACGAATTGTCAACTTTTACATCCTTCACAGTAGTAATTTTAAATCTGTAGTATATCATGATTTTTATTTATGAATTTTTATACATTTATGTAATTTCTGATAAATTATCAATTTAGCTGCCTCTGATAACCCTGGGCCATTGAAATGGTTTAAACCTTATTTTGATTGTGAAAGATCCAATAAATGGATATTTGGAGCCACTGTTCCAATTCCAGATATTTTCCCAAGACATACACAATGGAGACATATTGAAATTCCTACGTAAGTGAATTTTATTTTGTTCAGTTATAAAAACTTTTTTCGATGCCATATTTTATATATGTCTTTCACATTTAATATTACCTCTTTTTAAGGTTTAATTCTTCACATGTATGGTTTATTAGTGTATAGTGTTGAAGTGTTATTATTTCTTATTTAAATTTTTTTTTAAATTAACACTTGGCATATTCTGACGGACAGTTTCTTGCGGGGTTAGCATAATTTAAATCTTTTGGTTGAAAAAAAATCAGTTATTTAAATTATCTAATCATTGAAATATTTTTTATACAGTATAATTTATCAATACATTCCTATGGTTCTGTATTGTTTTAAAGAAAAATCTGATTTTTATGATATTGAAAGGTTTTTCCAGAGAAATAATAAAATGTAGATAAATTTCTATTGGATGGTCTTATAGCTAAAAGTCTAATAACTAAATAACTTATGTTGTAACTAATAACTAACTGAAATAAACTAGTATCTCACAAAAAGAAACTAAATGTGGATAAAAATGTATCTAAAGTAATTTGCAGTTTTTAAACATATTTCAATTTTAATTTAATTCAATTTTACTTTATATTCAATAAACATGTTCCAATTAGTTTCATGTTTATTGAAATACAAAATATTTTTATAACTTATTAAATATATAGTTTGTAAAAATAAATAATGAAAAAATACTTTTTTCTCAAAAATAGTTAAAAATTAATTGTTTTTTTTATGGTCTTTGATCTAAACAATTTATCAGTTAATTGTTGGTTAGATTTCGAATTATTCATTAATTAGAAATGAAACTGACAAATTAGGTCTGTTGTAATCATATCATTTGTTCAGGTGTCGAATAGCTCGGTGGGGGGGAGGAGGAAGTAAGAGTTTGATTAGCATATTAATTATTTATTTATAACAATATTTACAGATATCAGTAATTGCATCATTCTTTACATCAGGCTCATTTTGCGCACACCTCTACGCTCTCTCACATTTGCAAAAACAGACACAGCAGTTGCGGCGCTGCGCCACCTGCCGGACATTAAGGGGAAAATTTTAACAGATCTTTTGTTGGTAAAAATTCACGAGGGTGTTACACTTGAACAAAGGCAGCTGTGATTTTAATGATTCAGTAAAAGTTTGTAGTGATTATCTAATAATTTTAACCTTTTCAAGCTTGAAGTTTTAATTACTCTAATTATATTGCTGTTTTTAAATAATATCAAGCGTTATTAATATATTCTAACAGAGTTTTGATTGGTAAAAATATAAAATCCNAGATCCAATAAATGGATATTTGGAGCCACTGTTCCAATTCCAGATATTTTCCCAAGACATACACAATGGAGACATATTGAAATTCCTACGTAAGTGAATTTTATTTTGTTCAGTTATAAAAACTTTTTTCGATGCCATATTTTATATATGTCTTTCACATTTAATATTACCTCTTTTTAAGGTTTAATTCTTCACATGTATGGTTTATTAGTGTATAGTGTTGAAGTGTTATTATTTCTTATTTAAATTTTTTTTTAAATTAACACTTGGCATATTCTGACGGACAGTTTCTTGCGGGGTTAGCATAATTTAAATCTTTTGGTTGAAAAAAAATCAGTTATTTAAATTATCTAATCATTGAAATATTTTTTATACAGTATAATTTATCAATACATTCCTATGGTTCTGTATTGTTTTAAAGAAAAATCTGATTTTTATGATATTGAAAGGTTTTTCCAGAGAAATAATAAAATGTAGATAAATTTCTATTTCATGGTCTTATAACTAAAAGTCTAATAACTAAATAATGTACTAAGTAACTAATAACTTATGTTGTAACTAATAACTAACTAATGGTCTAATAACTAACCAACTTTGCTGGTCTAAAATAGACTAGTATCTCACAAAAAGAAACTAATTGTGGATAAAAATGTATCTAAAATAATTTGCAGTTTTTAAACATATTTCAATTTTAGTTCAATTCAATTTTAATTTAATTCAATTTTACTTTATATTTAATAAACATGTTCCAATTAGTTTCATGTTTATTGAAATACAAAATATTTTTATAACTTATTAAATATATAGTTTGTAAAAATAAATAATGAAGAAATACTTTTTTCTCAAAAATAGTTAAAAATTAATTGTTTTTTTTTTATGGTCTTTGATCTAAACAATTTATCAGTTAATTGTTGGTAAGATTTCGAATTATTCATTAATTAGAAATGAAACTGACAAATTAGATCTTTTTCTGGTAAAAATTCATGAGGGTGTTACACTTGAACAAAAGCAGCTGTGATTTTAATGATTCAGTAAAAGTTTGTAGTGATAATCTAATAATTTTAACCTTTTCAAGTTTGAAGTTTTAATTACTCTAATTATATTATTGTTTTGAAATAATATCAAGCGTTATTAATATATTCTAACCGAGTTTTGATTGGTAAAAATATAAAAAAAACATTTATACTTTTTAGCTAACTTTGATTTATTGTTAAAAGCAATTTATATATATGTTTAGACCTTTTAAAAATATTATTGTTAGCACCAATTTTTTTTTCTTCATAAAATTTATGAGATTTTAATGTTGAGTGTGGAATTACTTTGAATTATCAATAAAATTCAATTGAATTTCAAATATTGAAAAATGTTCTATAAATAATATATGCTTGGCCACATTTTTAAAGGGAAAAAATAAGATTCTGACTGTGTGACTAAACTAATAAAAAATTTTAAATTATTTTAAACTTTAAGTTTAAGTATTTGAATATTAATTATTATTTTATTTATTTGTGTACTTTTTATTTTTAGCATGTAATACATGAAATTATAAATTTTTGTATTTTTTTTTTTCCAGTTATGTTGCGGTTGCTGTTATGGAAGTCGATTTTGAAAGAATTGATATAAATCAATGTCCAACTGGAGAAGGAAATCCTCCACCTAATCGTTATGCTGGTACTGCCAGATGCAAAAATGAAACTACTGAGGTATACCATAATGCTTCAAAATATTATTACTGATATTTTTTTTTTCAGGAATGCCTCTACTTTTTTTTAGGAAAAATTGAGAATAAATAAATAGAGAAATGAAAGATGGACAAATTGACACACTATTTTTTTATGTATTTTAATTTTGTTTTTATTTATTTGTTTTAAACCTTATATGTATTCTATCATATCATTTCTATAATCTAATGACATGTTGTCTTGTCCATATAATACGAATTTTTAAAATAAAATGTATACTTCCATGAAGTGTATTTTTAAACTTCAAAAAAAAAAAATTTATATATTATTTATTCCATGTTTTAAAGTGTATGATAATTTATTGTTTGTTCTTTCCGTGCCTTGCTAATTGAGGTAAATATTCAAGTAAACTCTAATTAAATTCTTAATGTTTCCTCACAAAATTAAATAAATAAATGACTGTCAATCATTAACAAGAATCTATTTAAGTATGGCAAAGCGGAAAAAGGATCTGTAACAATTTACTTTTAATCTTATTAAAAAAAAACATTTTAAACTTATTTAACTTATCAAATCTGTTGGTTATCTTTTTAAATCTTCTACGTCAATAAATATATTTGGTGGTACTTTTATTTTGTATTATCCCTAAGAAAATATAACTGCAAGCTATCTTTTAATGAATCATATGAGCAAAAATGTGTCTTTACATAATTGTGATAAAAATTTTGTCATAAATGTTGAGATTTTTTAAACATTTTATTATAATTAGTCTTTAATAATTGCTTTCAATTTGAGCCCATTATAGCACTTTTTTGGGGGTGGGCAATTCTGCTATACTGCATTGACCCCACTTAACAGGGAGCCATGCTGCGACGTGCATGTTAGTTACTTGATGTTATTTCAGTGTTCGTAACACACACACAAATATATATTTATATATATATATGGAGATTTTGGAAATATTATGAATAAAAATTCAATTTAGGATAATTAAATTCTTCTTAATTTAATATATTATTTGTCTCGTTAAAGAGTGGAAACCTGAGTTTATGTTTTCCATTTGATTAGCGTTGCAAAACTTACAAAGTTGGATATCCTAAAATCAGGGGGGGGGAGTTTATTTTTCAACATTTGATGTGAGATTAATTACTAGAAATTTTTTTATTTATACATGTTTTTTGTTTTTAGATACAATCATAATAATATCTTTGTCAATACTTCCTTACTATTGTTTGAAAATAGCAATATCCCTGTCAATACTTACCATTTCTTGCAAATTTGCTTAATGGTTTATATTTAGCAAATGACTCTTGATTAGTTGTGTGTATATCCTCCGATATTTTTTGCTCATCTTAGTTTTCAATACTGTCATTGTAAGCAGGCATTAAATCATATAGTGAAGAAATTGAAAAGTAATAGGATGTGTGTTACTGTCGATATCTGCGTTGTAATGTACCGAGCATATTATAACAAAATAGAGCTCATAACAGAATTTTTTAATAAATGTCTCGAGCTGATGGTTAGATATCTTAATTGAATTAAGCATAATCTATTTTTTTCCCCTTCTGATTTTCTTTTCGGAGATAGTTTATTATTCCTTATTTAAGAATTTGTTTGGTATTTGTCCTTATTACACAGGCTGCATAGCGTTTTTAAAAAGTGCTTAAGGATACTTCTTCGATTTTCGTTCTTTAAAAGCCCTTAAAGGTGCTTTTTTAATTGGATATTTTTGAAAAGTGCATAATTTTCCCTTTTTCAAAATGAGATGTCTTTTTCTTTACCGTATTGATTTTCACCACTAATTATGCAAAAAGACATTGTTTACATTGTCAAAGACATTGTCTTATTCGTACAAGACTGAAAAATTAACTTTGAGTGCAGATGGCTTCAAAACTATTTTTTTTTTTGTAATAACTTGCTTTGGGGAAAAGAGAAGTTAAAATGGAAGTAAATGAAAACTGATTTTACATATAAATGAATATGATTGTTAAGTGTTTTTTTTTTTTATAAGATAATTGTTTTTGTATTTTTATTCTTAATAATTAAACAAATTAAGGGATTGGATAAATTGCAATTTGATACATTTTTATTTATAATTACTGCATATTTTCGCACCAAAATTTGGCTTTTTAGCGGTAATTTTTAAAACAAAAAGAGTTTTACAATAATTCAAGAACATAAGTTGATGGAACGCTTGTCATTTTACATATATGTTAATTTAAAATTATTTAATATTTATAACAGCTGATAATTATCCTTAGGCCAAAATTTTGAGTTTTTGACAATTTTCAAGAACTATATCAAAAATGATTTTGTTTTTTTGGCATGGTAATTAAAATCGTCAATTGTCAAAATTTTCCAACCTTTCCTAATGATGTTATTTTTTGTTGAAAAATTTGCCTAACCACCTTGTTATAACTCTATTTTATAATTACTTATTCATTAAAAACAAAATCATAAAAATAGTGTCCTTTTTTATAGTGTGAACCCATTCATGGCTTTGGGTTTCGTCGTGGTGGATACCAGTGCCGCTGTTTACCAGGCTTTCGCTTGCCAAAAGTCCTCAGAAATCCTTTCCTGGGTGAAGTAGTGGAGAGAGCACCCTACGATCAATACCGCAAAGGATTTCACTGTGAAAGAATAAATTGTAATTATTTATTTATATTTTTCCAATTATTTTTATCATAACCATCTATTCTAATTAGAAAAACAAAGTAATTTGTTCATTTTTAAAACATTCTTATCAATTTAAACACTTTTCACTCTTTCAAATTTTAACTTATCATTTCTGAAATTTTTCTTATGAAAAATAGTGGAGTTAATACTTTGTGAAAAATATCTCAAAGGTTTAACTGTAAAAAAAAAATAATTTATAATTATTTATAATTTAACATTTTCCTATATCAATTATGTTATTCTTTTTTAATATATACTGGACACAAAAAACAATGTAACATAACATTTTTAAAACATTCTTCATTTTTTTATTTAATTAGTGGATATGACAGGTGGCCACCCACCTTGAAAACCTGGAATTATCAGGGAATATTTTTATACTGAAAAAAAAACTGGAAAAATCAGAGTAATTTGGATAAATACCTAGAAAAATCAGGGAATTTTAAAGAAAAGCTGGAAATTTTTTGATTTTTTTATTAAATTTTAATAATTTAATTCTTAATTTAAATTATTTTATCGTCTGTTATACACACTTTTTTTAGGAACTGTATATCCAAACAATTCATATATCTTTAACTTTACAATGCTTTGCTTGCAACAAAATTTGCTCCTTAATTATCCTATTCAACTGGAATGCTTCATGTAACTCTCCCATGGTTGCTAAATGAATGGAGAAACCTTTGAACTCTATGGAGGCTATGGGACTGTTCAGTTTGGAATTGGCAAAAATTGAAAGAAGGGGTTAGGATATTTGTTTCTCTTTTTGAAAGTAGGTTATTTTTTTCTTTAAGTCCATAGGCAAGGGTTTGAGTTTGTTCGGATGCTTTGGTAGTTAATTTGTTCTATTTTGACAAAATGATAAAAAAATATTTTAGTATTTTTAACTTTATAAAATTCTCCAGAAATTAGTTGGCTATAATTTAATAACAATAGATTTTATTTTGCACTCTTTATCTGAAAGCTTTTGTACTCCCATGCAATAAAATCTGTGAATCTCAGCAAAGCCTACCAATCACACATTTTCTTACAATCGCTAACAACGATATGTGTTGACAAATCTTTATTATTGTTGCATTAATTCTAATTTACTCAATTTCATTTTAACCTTTAATGACACGTATTTTAATTAAAGAAAGGTTATTTTATGAACCAACTATATGTTAGCATTTAATTTTACTTTTTTGTTGGTAAATATTTGATTTTTTATTCAAAATTCTGGAGATGCATTCCTATTGTATAGTAATCACAATATTGAAAATTCATAAATGTTGCTTGCATTCCAGAGATATTTCTAACTAGACAAAAGAAAATATAGAAAACATGTTAAATGATGTATTAACATAGAATATAAAAATGTTTTATTAATATGTGTTTATTAAGAAGAAGGAAAACAAAACTTAGTTTTTTTTTGTTCTGCACTGTACAGGTACAAGTTTCTAGTTATAAAAGCAGAAACAATTATCTATACTAAACTAAAAAAAAAACATGTATTTGGATTAGAATTCTTTAAACATTTTAATTTCAAATAAGAAAGAAAAAACCAAGCAGAATAAATTTTAACGAATTTTATCTACTTTTTTCTATAGAGTATGCAACAAGAAATTGGACAATTTTCCTTTTGCGACATTCCTTTTTGTGTACAGAATCTCTAATAATAATAATACTTATACAAAATAACATTATTTAAGCATTCGACTTGAGATATTGCTTTAAGGAGCAAAATTATCATTGAATTTTATAAAGAGCACTTAGATACAGTAGAGTATAAAATGGCTCTATATTGAAATGTAAATACAGTGACTCATCAAAGTGTTTGTACACTTATAACTTTCAATGAAATAAGACCATCCATTAATTGTTATCAATATTTCAGAACGGATATTTAATATTAAAAAATATATTCTATTCTTAGCAAAACTGTTTGAAATATTTTAAAAACAAAGCAAAAGTTTATTTTTGAGAAATCAGTACTCAAAAAGTAACAAAAACTTGATCTCCCAAAAGTCATTGTACACTTTCAAAAAAATTCTCCACCTTTTAGTAAATATTTTTTGTTAAATTAACATTTAGTAGAGTTTCCTTTCGCACCTACAATAGCTTTTAAAATTATGTAAGTAAATGTAACTAGTTTTTTTTTTTTTTTTTTTTTNAATGTAACTAGTTTTTTTGTAATTTTTATTTTTTTTTTTTGTCTGGTGAAATTTGAGCAGAATATTTTTTATTAAGTTTAACAAGCTTTTACCACACTCAAATATGAATTTATGAATTTTTTCACAAATTTTATAATTTTAATCTCTGATATGAAGTCCTTCTTTTAAGCATTTATCACATATTGCACATTGGAATAGGACACAATAAACTAACTTAGCGATATTCATTACTGTGATATACCTCTTATGATGACACATAATCAACTTTCAAATGTTGTCTATTGTATTATTATGACCACAAGCCATTTTTAAGTAACGAAAGAAAATATTACAGAGTTAGAAAGTAAAAATTAAAATATAATTTTGCTATCATAAGTTTGATACTAAATTACAAATAAATAAATAAAAAATTTAAAGCAATAGACCATAATTCTAATTCTGAAATCCAAAAACATTTAAATGTACGATGACTTTATTGACGTAAAATTTTTGTTACTTTTTTATTTTTGATTTCTTGAAAATAAACTTTTGCTTTGTTTTTAAAATATTCCATGCAGTTTTGTTAAGAATAGATTATACATCTTATTATTGAATACCCATTCTGAAATATTTATTTTAATAGAATAGAGTCCTATTTCAATAACAGTTAGTTATAAGTGAAAGAACACTTTTGGGAGCCACTGTAAATATAAAAATTAATTGGTAATTAATAATTTATTGATTATTAATAATTTAATCACCTGGAATGGTTTTCTTTTGCTTAATAAAATTATATTAAACAATACTTATCCAAGATTTTTTTTTGTCATTCTGTATTTGCCATTTGGTTCACTTTGAGCAAAAACTACATGAAGTTACACATTAAAATTTTTTTATTCAATATAAACAATATATTCTACAAGCTAAACATATTATTTTCTCTCCACGTTTATTAATTTTTTTAAAAATTAATATTGTAAAAAAATATTAAAAAATAAAAAACAAAATCTTTACAAATTGTCAAAATAAATTTTGTCTAATTATTTTTTCAAGATGATATATTAAAAAAATAACATTTTAAATAAAATACTTTATTGGCACTTTACTTGTACCCATCCTACACTTTTTAGTTTTTTACCAATTTTAAGTTTTTTACCTGGAAAAATCAGGGAAATTTGAAACCTGATTTGAGTGGCTACCCTGTATGACCAATATTGCTAAGAATTAAACTGCAAATCGTATTCAACTGCATGTTCAGTTCAAAAGTTTTTTTCCCCTTGAAAAGCTTATTTAAAATTTCATTGCATCTTTGTCTTGTAATTTATTACTTACTACTTACATGTTTAGAATAAAAATGTTACTCCAAAGGTTTTTAAAATGTGCAAAGAAAAACTTCAATTTAATGTAAAATAATAATAATATCTAATCATCCTATTAAAGTGGAATGTACAAAACTTATTAATGATATACTTTTTTTTAGTCAAGATTTCTACGAGATAAAAATGTCATAAAATTAAATTTGATTTTGATTAGAAGGAAAAGTCAGGTAATATATTACTTCTAGCAAAAACCTATAGATTTCTTTGCAACAAACCTAGAAAGTAACCAATTTTAAAAATAATTAGTTGATAAGTAGTTGATAGTAAATAAATCTGCAGTTATTTTTTGTAAGAATTTCATTGCAACTTGGTTAATTTCTTATCTATTAAAATTGTAAAACAAGTGTATAAAAATACTTAGTATTAATAACTTGTTTTTTTTTTTTTTTTTTTTTTTTNTTTTTTTTTAAATTTACTCATATTTACTGTTCAACAATACTGTTCATTTGGCTTGTAATAACTTTTTGTGAAAAATTAAGCCTTCTTACTCATAAATTAATTTTGTTTCACCAAAAGGATGGATAATGGTTGTATTAAACTATATTATGTTGTACGATTTTAATTTCTTACACTTTATATTGAATTATAATTTATATACAGTATACTCTTGATATCTCAAAGTTGAAGGGGCACTAAAAAAGTTTCGAGATAACAAGTTCAGAACTAAATATGTTCTAAAAGATAGAAAGAAAAATATTATTCTAAAAATTGGAGTAATTAAAAATATGAATGAATAACTACTGTATGTAATGATAGTTGACTATAAGTTTAAATACAACAATGATAATTTTATTTTTAAAAGTAAGACAAAAATAATTATGCTTTAAATGGAAACGAATTGGTCTACAATAAACTTACATTGTGATTTTTGCGAGAAAAAAATTCATTTTCTATTATGAAAGTAATTCGGCATAGCAAGGTTTTAAAAAGAAATCCTTTGACATAGAAATTCATATTAAAATTTGGTGGATATGTAAAGCCAAGGGGAAAAATATATTGACATAACAAGGTTTTCGAAATATTGAGAGTATACTGTACTTATGTATTATAAAATTTCACATTTAACCTTCTGTATGTAACTTAATGGTTCACTTTCTTTTGAAATGTAATATTTGGCATATTTTCTATCAGTTTAATAAGTTTCATTGCTTATTAAATAAAAAATTATGTTACCCATTGGCAAAATATGTCTTGTTTTGGGTTTTATGGCGTGCACACTTTATTTGTCGTCATTGCACGTGTTGCTATATTGACCGCTGCTGTTTGATATTTTTTTTAAATTCTTTTTTTTTTTTTCGCCAGCAGTCATTCTTAATGTAGTTACATAATAATTTGAAGTATTTTTATATTCTTTTTATCATTAACTTATAATTACTTTCTTGACGGTGATTTTAATATAAATATGAATACTGAAGAAAGAAAAGTATTTTGTGATGTCTTGAGACACGTATATAGCCAGGATCTGAAAACCAATCTGACGACAAACATCAATTGAGGCAGTTTATGCAACCCATGATTTGAAATGTTGTGGTGTTTATCGGAGTCAAACCACACAAAAAAAAGCATTTGATAAATGAGTAACCAGTGATCGTAATGAAGCAATCACAATTTTTTTAAATTTCTTTTGAAATATTTTAGTGTATTGTCCAATAAAATGGAGTATGGAATTTTGTTCTTCATATTCATTGAAAACCTGGAAAAATCAGAAAATTTTTCAGTGATCAGAAATTATTTCTGAATATTCAGTGAAAATTAATGAATATTTTGTGAACTAAATTATGAATTAACCAATATTTACTTTTTTAAATTTGAGAAATAAATACTTTGGCACCAATAAATTGAAATATATATTTTTTTTAGATATGATGGTCATGACACAAAATGTTGAAAGGTTATCAGAAGTTGAAAGATGGAAATTCATCAATCGTCAGTCTATGTTTTTTGATGTTGGCAACATGACTGGAAGCAGAATTGATCCATTGGTTGTCGTGGATTATGTTCGAACTGGAGTAAGCTATAATATAATCTCCCTCTATAAATTTGAATTTGAACACCCTTTAAAAAAGAAATTTTCGCTGTCCCTTAAAATGATCTTATTTTCTTTGCCCTTTAATATAACCTCAAAATCTTTACTTTCATTTTTAAAAAAATATTTTAATTCTTATGAAGTCTAAAAAGATTAAATAACTGCATGTAACATAAGTTACTCCAAAACATATTGTCAGCTACTGTGTACATAAAGCACTAGTTTTTTCTCCAATTTTTAAAAGAAATAGTTTTAATTGAGAAAAAAAGTTTTAAAATAGATTTCTACTGTTTCAATATTTTCATATGTGGTTGCTATATTTTCCTTGCTATATTGATACGCTTATCCTAAGTCTACTGATATGTAGTTGAATATTTTTTATAGCTTTTTAAATGTATGGAACACTAAAACATTTATACCGTAAGCATTTTAAGCATGTAAATGAAAAGCAGAAGTAGGGTAAACTAACCAGTGAAGAAACACTTAAGCTTCGCTTGCCTTATAAAAAATCATATTAATTTCAAAATTCGTAATTTTAGTTAAATGACAGTGTCAGCATATGTGTTACTAATTGCAAATTATGTTAAAAAATTGTAGAGAACTTACATAATATTGTTTTAAAGTTTTGGAGGTTCAAATAACAATTAGTACGAAGACCAAGTGAAGGAACAGCTCTTACCAGTGAATGAACACCCAGTAAAGGAACACTTAATTTTGGTTATTTTTTAATGCTCTTTATGAATTTATAAGCCATACAAATATTTAAAAACAAGCCTATTCTTGAAATCATAACATATAAGTACTTGGAAAATGTTAACCTTTTTCTGTAATCATGAAATGAAAATTAAAGTGTCAACATGTTAACACATACTTTTCATTCACTGGGAAATTTATGCCCAGTAAAGGAACATGCCTGTTCCCTCACTGGTTAGAAGTTGTTTTTCGTATTTTTAGCATACTTTTGATGTGGAACATCACTAAAGGTATGTGGTAAGCGAACCTATCACCACACAGTATCCCCCCAGTGACAAAGTCACGATACCAATAATACAATCATAAAATACAAAGTAGTAAATTGAAATATATGTCTTAATTAGGAAAAAAATTAACTTGGAAATTGGAATACAATTAATAAATACAAAATATTTAGATGCTTTTATATTCCATACTCTTTAACAAAATATTTTGGGAAATGCACACGGCGACCAGATTTTGTAACAAATTGCTTTTCTTCCTTTGTTGGAGATAATTGCTTTTCGACCATTGGAATTTTATTTATTTCATGGTTTGTAACTACTTTCCCCACATTGAAGACCTTCGGACATGATGTGAACACGCATACCTTGGCAAAAACGCCCACTTTGATCTGGATACGCCCTACATCAGCAGTAACGCCTACTTCGTTGGATGGTCCACATTGAACAGTTGACTTGCTACTTGTGACTGCATCATTATCCACCTCCTTACGCAGTTGCTACTCAGTCTCATCTCGATCACACACTACGTCGGCTTGCATACTTGTGATTACTCGACTGCTAATGGCAACAGAGGAGCGACCAAGACCGTGAAGTTAATACACCTCTCACATTCAGCACTCAAAAAATACGGTGATCTTAATACAGCTCTCCCGGCTTCGCACAAAACAGCAATGAATCAACTAGTGGCATCCATTCATCGAATTCTATCATAGCTATAATTCTGGTGGGGGAGTACTGTAGCGTATCTACCACTACAAAATTACAACTACAATTCACTAGTATA